GTAAAACACAGTGAATAAGAAAGTCACTGGGGTGTGAAATAACTATAACTACATGGTAGTAAACAAAAAGACAACACAGGAAATATGATTTGTAAAGGCTAAAATGTCCTGCAAAAACATAGATATCCCCTATCACAACTGTGAGGTAGAATTCTTCCAACCCCATTTTCTGGTTTCTTGACCACTAGTTGGGGGCCTTTCCCATCCAGATGGCGTTTTCTCACATTGCTGCACTCAGGACAGACTAGTAGTACACATTTTTTACTACCCCTTCTACCCCAATTGAACAGAAGTAATCTTTTGTTTAATTGGTCTTACTTCACCTACTGAAAACGGGTGGCAAAAGTTAGTAAAATAAACCAGTGCTGTTTCTTCTAGCTAAGATATCACCATGCTTGGGAAATGCTTTAATCCTTCAAGAAGTGAAACTAATGCTAAAATTGCAGGTATAGAAACCTGTTGGGTGCTGTTTAGGGCAGACAGGTATTTCTTTCCTCAAAGAACACCAACTGCCAAGTGTTAATGCCATTTCTATCACAAACCCACTTCTAATATTTCAAATATGAATCATAAAAATAGTTTACACCTTTCTACACATCTAAAATATAGTGAAAATCCAGGACACAGTATAACCACATTGGAAAAAGTATAGCAGTGTCTTTTAAAACTACCCTATGACACAGAAACTCTAATCCTAGGTACTCACCCAAGAGAAACAAAAGCCTATCTTTACATAAGACTTACATTAAGAATAATCATAGCAGCTTTATTTATAACTACTAATGCTGGAAACAGCCCAGGTATTCATAAATAGAAAAATGGATAAATTGCAATATAGTCATACAATAGAATACTACTTGGCAATAAAAAGTAATGAACTACTGAAACACCTGACAATGTGGATATATTTTCAAACCATGGTAAGTGAAGAGGCTTCTACAAAGAGTACATGCCGTGTGGCCCTATTTACATAAAGATCTAGAAGAGAGAAATTTGATTCGTGGTAGACAAAAGAACAGTGGTTGCCTTTGGGAGGGTAGAGTGGGGTCAAGGATTGACTAGAAAGGGCCAAAGGGGAATTTTCTGATTATATATTTTGATAGCACTGTATACATTTTCCAAAACTAAGAGATGCACACTTAAGATTTATGCACTTCATTGTATGCTAATGTTACATAAAAAAAAGTGGCTAAGCACATACTGAGCTCTAGAGTTAATGACATGTATGCTGAAGTTATTAGTAGGAAGAGTGAAGATGCCTGCACTTGGATGAACTGTTGGATGGCGATGATAATGCAAGCATAGTTAATGCTAACTAGCGTACGGGTGGCTGATACACTGTAAAATTTTAACTTTTTTGTATGTTTGCAAGTTTTCATAAAATGTTGGAAGAAAAATTCCACGGTGCAACACTTACCAAGTAATGCCACTGAGAATTACATTATTGATCTCATGGCAAGATAATCATCAAATTCTTCCAATCAGTTAATTCAGAAATTTAAGAGCTTGTTTTAGATATTCCTGAGTGTGAAGGGACAAGTCAGCTCTCAAATCTATACTGGCTCAAAACTGTCAGTTACATTTGATCCCCTTACACTTTCAATATATATATATCGAATATATATGTATATATTCAATAAATTTGTTGGCTGTGTAGACTAATGTAAGAGTTAAGGTGAAGAAACATTCTTAAGAGTAAAATCTAGCACAGAAATGTTTACCTGACTTCTAAACTAAAAAAGAACTACGGCAACTATAATAAAAGATGTGTAGACCCGAAACACAGTGTAAGGTTTGGTCATACAGACAGGCCCCTATGTTTTGAGTGGAAGGACATCTGAATTATCCTGTCTCTCAAAGGAGGGACTCATTTGGGGGTGCCCTGAAGTGATGGCATGTAACTTATAAATACTTCTAAGGCTACTCCTTGAGATTCACGAAGACTGGCTCCAGACTTCATTAGCCTTTTGTCAGAAGTAGTTTTCCACATACCTGACTTAAAATCCATTAACAATACTGTGCTTATTATTTAGTGGCTGCTATCTATCTTTAGGTGTTTGCTAAGAATTTCTATAGAACTGTATAAGGTGTATACATACATACACACACACACACACACACACACACACACACAGCCTAAGGGTTCTCTAACAAAAATAATCAAATAATCTTGGTTTTTTAAAAAATTTACTCATTGCTTTCAAAATGTTTAGTCACAGTTCTCACTTTCCTTTGATCTCTAAGTGCTTCATGTTCTAGTACAGGCTCTGCTTTTCTTGAAGCACATGGACTGGTGCAGTCAAGCTTTCAAGTTTGCTTCAAAATACTGCAGTCATGTTATCCAGGATCATATCTACGAATGTTTTTAGTCTTAAAACCTTCCCCTGCATTTATGCTATTTCATGGAGCATCCCTAGTTCTAGCAGTCGACGACAGGACCAGTCTTTTTCATTATCACGGCTCAAGTTTATCAAGATTGCTCTTTTCTAACCATAACAGTACTAATGGTGGTCTCAAGCCATGCTTGTTGATTATTAGGATACTTTTTTAACAGCTTTGTGCTTTTGTTGTTTCCACTGGCTGGTGTTGACTCTCTGAAATCCACTCTGAGTATGATTTTTACTTACTTATTAATGCCACTGTGTCATGTCCTGTCACCCTCAAAGTAGATGATACTCCTCACTTGTCTTCATTTTCGCTGGTCTATCATCCTGTCATAAAAGAGTTAAATCTTTCAGATTTAAAAGTCTTGTTACTTACTGATGAGCTCATCGACTCCACCCTTAGTATTTCCAGTACGTAATTCTGAATGTAAGGGAAATGGAGCTCAGAGAGGTAAGCATAGTGCCATTTCCCTCATGACCCCATGCTCGTCATCAGAGATAAGAGCAACATTAAAGATGCTCTATTTTCTATTCTGAGAAGATAATTATATTAATAATTCCTTCCACTTTGGATAATATTGTAGTTGTCAATTTATTTTTTTAATATGATTATATTTACAGACCCAGAGAAGTTTAGCCATTTTTACAAGGGTGAGTAAATGGCAAAGCCAGATTTTGAGCCAGATATTCGAACTCCAAACTCATTCCATTATATTCACTACAGTTCTTACTTTGGCTTTTTTATGATCTTTAATATGTTTGCCATTACTTATGCTTCTTAGCTAAACATAGAGGTTTCCATAGCACACACTGAGGCCGCGTAATGTCAGATGTTAAATCAATACTTAATTTTGCCTTATCAAGGTATTTGTTGCCCTCCACAGCAGAAGTGTATTTCCCTTCTAACTGAAGATTTTTATTTTCAGAACTGAAAGTTAACAGTGCTAAGTCTACTAATTGGGTTAATTGGCTAGGTATGTTCTAGCCTATCTCCTTAATTAGGGAATTCTTCCTTTGGGGGGTTAACCAAAGATACCTCAACCATGTAACTCTTGTCACTGATGATACTTATGTTAGTTTCCCATGCCATTTTCAGTAAACTAAAGATATGGAGGACTTTCACAACCAGAGCATGTTTAGTTCTTAGGAACCATAGGATAGGAAGAGTAACACAGCAATATCCAATCTCTCTGGCAAAGAACATTACAATGCAGTAGAGAATTCTGAGTTCTCTGACTGTAGACTGTACAGTGAGTTCCGTTCAGTTAATCTCAACAGTCGTGCTGTTGGTTACAAGAGGCTTACAACAGAGAGTATGGTTAGCTCACCACTATCAGAATGTAATCGTCATGTTCACCTTAAGAGTATGCCACCAACAATAACAATGAACTCAACAGCACACCCCGTATTTCAACTGACAGGGTAATGAAACAACACATTAATACTAGTAACACTCAGGAGCACTGGCCAATTTAAATGCCTACAAAGTGATAGCAGTATTCAATCTTCCACACAGTAATGAAGCCTAGACCTGCCATCAACATCCTGGCTGGGCAGGCTGAGCAGTTTCATCACCATCATCAATGAGTCACCTTAGCAGAATAAGGTCACCAACAATGAGGACTGGGAATGAAGTTAATTATATCTGAAATAAAGTTACCATCTTTGCATCTTAGCTCTGCTGGGCGAGACGTGTGAAGAACAGATGTCAAAACTGTTATATACTAAGCCTATAGAGGAGCAAATATATAGTAAGAAGGCAAGAGAAAAAAAAATCCCCCAAACCGAAACAAACAAAAAACAAAACAAAACTAGCCCAATTAACACTTCAAGAATTCCCTGAGATGAGCCAAAGTAATGTGGAAAGTTGTGGCATATACCAACAATGGCATATACAAATGATGGTTCTTTCTCCATTTGTGGGCCAACATTAATTCATGATGAACAAAGAACTCATGCTTTCAAACAGACTTCTGTCACTTCCTTCACATGTACTCTAAGTAAATGCTATGAAAAAAAAAAACAACATTAGGACACTGTTGGGTTTTTAATCATCACTGTATGTATACATACAGATACACATATAGAAAGTAGCAGCAAATTTACAAATGAAGAGCAACAGTATTGTGTCAAAAGCATATTCAGTTTCATCTGAAATCCTCAAATTACAAATAATATTTCCAGATGATGCCTTATTTTACTCTTGCTGTAGGCTGGATAGCTTAAGGCATATTAAAAATTAACTTACTGGACAGTAAGTAGTCGAGTTGATGATAAAACTAAGAGTCTCATTACTTACAGTGCAGTTCCTTTCTAGCAAAGTCTTAATAAAAACATTCTTACTACTCTTATATTCAGTAGGATATTGAGTGTAACTAAATATCTATATTACCTAATACATAAGTATCTAAAATACCAAATGACTTCCTGATGAGTCGATTAATTCATAAGTCAGTCATAATTTTAGGAAGTATATTTAAAACACACTTCAGACTATATATATAGAGGGGACTATTACTAATGCCTACAACAGACCATTCACATACAGAGGAAGTGAGCAATTATTACATATGAGTAAAAGCCTGGGAAGAGGAAAATCCCGGGAAGAGGAAAATCCCACAAAATCCCTTCCCTCAACACAGATTATGATGCAGGAGGCAAAGGCATCAATAAATAATTGTAGCATGTGGTTAGCACCATTATGAAGACTGAAATGAAGAATCACAAAAGTTCACACTCAGAAGTTAAGTCCTAAAAGACTGAGAAGATATCAAATATAGAAGGAATTTCTAGAATGTTCTCAGAAGCAGTGGCAGCATAAGAAAAAAGGGAGCAATTAGGCATTGCTCCCAGATTTTCTGGCATGTCTGATTAGAAAAAAATTAACCAAATTGCTCAGAGAGAACAAAAGTGAAAAACAGGATGACTTCCTCCAGGCTGAAATGTCAAGTAGGTAGTTGAAAGTATGGGTCTGAAATTTTGGACCAGATATGGACCACAAAACATGGATTACACAGAAACCTAAGGATGAGATCGTTCCAGAAGCATTCTGAAAACAGAATCTGAGAGTCTATTTTAGTAGATACACTTTAAGTAGAAGTTATGTGACTGCACTCAAAGTTATGGCAGAGGATGACATCTTCAAGGGACACCATCTAGGAAAGGCTGCTCAATGGTGTAAATATTACAGAGACAGAGAAGGATAAGTAATCCAGACTGAAAGAAACAATCATTCAATTCTGTAACTGAGAGTCCACTGAGAACAGTTTCACTGAAGTGTGTAAAACCAGACTGTAAGGTGTTGAACAGTGAGTGATGAGGATGCAGAGGGAATGATACGGATTTCTCCAGGAGGTCTGGCAGTGAAGAAGGCTGGAGAAACCAGCAGGCTGAGAGGGAGTTTTTTGCTTTGGAGGATACATGAACATTTTTGTGGACATGAAAAAGGAACCAGCATACAATTCTTTGCATAATTCTGTATTGATCACAGCTAAAAAATTATTTTTAATCTTTTTCAAAAACATTTTCTGAAAAAAAAAATTAACACAAAAATACGTATTTTACCATTTAAACTTAATATAAACTTAAAAGCACTAACATTTTATAAATTTTATTTCTCTAAAAGACTTGTACAATTTTTGTTATTAGACTGCTCCAGAATTTTGCTTCATCTATCATGAGAAATTAAACTTTATTAACAATTGCTATATTCATTCCAGAAAGATTCCTCTGATATACAGGATTATACTTAAGTAATTATGTATGCCTTCTTCCCCAGCCCTCCTCCCCAAAGACAAAAGTATCTTCAGGGTTGTTAATAATTTGGATATTTTCAACTTCAAGAGAAGAACAATTAGAAATAGTATTCCATTATTTTTTAGTTAAGATCTAAATTGCTCTTCACAATTATTTTTCAGTATTAAACATGCTTATTTATTATATACACATGCTTACATATGAATTTCCTGGCTAAAACACATGCAACCAACATGAAAGAACAAATATTAAACCATCCTCACAATCCTAAGAATGCCCTTTTAAATAAGGCACTCATGTTTAGAAACAGGATATAACCACCAAATTAAATAAGATGTTTAAAAGAAGCCTTTTATTAAGCACAAACAACTTTTAATACATTATCAATACAAATAGGAAAATGTCCTTTAATGAATATGATATATCAAAGATCTGAAAGTTTTCTTCATACTGACACAATAAAAATAATCAATTTTGAAGAAGAATTACAAAGTAAAATTTTTGAGTACACCACTGTCTACTAATAACAATTTAACTACAGTCTAAATTTACTACATCACCTGGGGAGGAAGGTCAACCATTTTTTATATAGAGAATTCTTAAACTCTTATTAGCACCATTCAACGCTTATTATCAGTTGTTCATCTACAAATTGACAGGTCAGGTAAAGCTTTAAAGCAAGTTTTCAGTGCAATGTCTACAGTTCCTTCTCTTAAGATACTTGGAGTCTATGGTCTCAAAGCAAGTTAAGTAATGATGCCTTGTAGTTGCAAGGTGTTAACGTGTAGAATGAAATATAAAATGGAAAGAAATGAGGCTTATCCTGGCTGTGAAATGTATCTTAATGTATTGCGGCTAATGCTGTAGTACGCCAACAACATGCGGGACTATGAACTGCAGATTTGTGGGAAGCTGGTAGCTATGAGCTCTCTGTGGCCATGATTTCGGGATGTCTCAGCTGCTGCCTTTTGAGACTAACCAGTTTCATCCTGTCTCTGATGTGTTCTGCAGTGGAAGCCATGTCACTTGGGCTCCCAAAATATTGTTCAGTTCTAAAAATCAAAACAAACAGAAAAACCGCAATCAGATTCATACAAATCCACGGACTACAGCAAATGCAAAAGGGAGCAAAGATTACCATAAATATTATACACGTGATAAGACAGTTCACTTGCAGACCATACTGTTTACCTTTGAATAGTAATTCAGTGAGAGAAATATTTTTAAATGGCATTAAATATATTAAGACATGTTGAGAGAAAAAGCCTAGTGGCATTAAATGTTGTATCATATGTACTTATAATAATCTCAAAAAATCAAACAATGCAACCAAACAATGAAACAATAAAGGAAACAATGCAACATTGGAGATATTCTGCCTTTCAGTTTTGGGTGCATATGCATATACAAATATAAAATCTGTATGTGTTCTTCAAGGATAAGGGCTATGTACACCAAATGTGTGTCTAATATATGTCTAATATAGCTGGCAAGCGAAATATCTGTTTAATGTTAAGGGATCGTTTGAGACTTTAAAAGATAAAATCATTTAATGTTATCCTACTTAAAAAGGTACTGTATTCAGAGTCACAGAATCTTTTAGAGCTAGAAGAGTTCTTAGAAATTATTTGGTTAAGGTCTGTATTTTTTAAGATCAGAAAACTAAGGCCTAGAAAATTAAATGATTTAACTAGGATCACACAGTGGGAAAACCAACATTTGAACTGGCGTCTTCAAGCAGTGAATCCAGACAGATCATCTAATTTCTTTTATTTTTCCAGGACAGTGTTACGAAAGATACATCTGAATACGCTTGCTGTCAAACAAACTATACAGTGTCAACAAGTTATCCATTTTTATGACAGATTAACAATTTCAAATATTAAAGATGGTGGTTGTGAAATGTGAATACACAGTACTAACTTATTCCTCAATCTTAAAAACATGAGGAAATGCTATAGACTATTTGTAGAACACAGGAGGAGGAGGAGAAGGCCAAGCAAAAATCCTAGTTATAAAGGCTCCCAGGCTGACCTGAGTAGAAGAGAGATAGTGTTAACAACCGGTTGTGAAGCACAGAAATGGGGATGGGGACTCCCTGGAATAGAATAACCAGAAGGCATCCCTCCAATACTGTTGCAAGCTAAATTTATAAATTTTTAGATTTTATTCTTTTACACTGCATTGCAGATATCTAATACGAATTTAGGCTACTTCTGATGGTTTAATTTTGGCTATGACCAAAATTATTTAAATATAGACTATGAATTATATGCTTTCAAGGGAATAAAACTGTATCCTCCCAAAATCAATTTCAAAGAATCACTTGAAGTTCATGACACAGTAGTAGTGGCACTTACTATGTGTCAGATTTGGGGTTTTGTTTTTCTTTTTTTTTTTTTTTAAAGATTTTATTTATTTATTTGAGAGCGAGACAGTGAGAGAGAACATGAGCGAGGAGAAGGTCAGAGGGAGAAGCAGACTCCCCATGGAGCTGGGAGCCCGATGTGGGACTTGATCCCGGGACCCCGGGATCATGACCTGAGCCGAAGGCAGTCGTCCAACCAACTGAGCCACCCAGGCGTCCCATCTTTTTTTTTTTTAAGATTTTATTTATTATAGAGAGAACATGCAAGCAGGGGAAGGGAGAGTGGGGGAGAGAATATCTCAAACAAGCTGTGTGCCCAGCACAGACTCTGGGCTGGATCCCACAACCCCTGAAATCATGACCTGGCTGAAATGAAGAGTAAGACACTCAGTTGAATGAGCCATCCAGGAGCCCCTGTGCCAGGTTCATTGTAAGTAATTTATATACATTTAGCTCATGTAATTCCCTTGCCCCTGTAACCTGAAAAGGTTTGAATAATATATCCCTAATTTTTAGATGACAGAATTGAGGCACAGAAAGGCTGAGTGGCTTCCCCAAGGTGTTACAGCTAGTAAGTGGTGGAGCTGAAATTTAAACCCACGAAACCTGATTCCAAAGTTCACAATCCTATCAATTACTCTACACTACAGAGTAAAGATAAATACATTCAATGATGTGGTTGCTCTGTCATTTGAAGTAAATATCCTCTGGATTACCTCTAAATTATTTTCACTGAGGTCGAGAACCTCAGGGATGAAGTTCCTTCAGATTCATTTAATGGCCCATTTATTTGCATGAGATCACTTCTTTCTTTTATTAACTTTCAAAATGCAAAGCAATGTGGGAAGCAGGACCCATCATTTTACAAGTGAAGAAATTCAGATTCCATATAGCATAGAGAAAAGAGAATGTGTTCAGAGTTGGACCAACATGAGACTGTATTCAAATTCTACTTAGAAGCTGTGAAATCCTGAGCACTTCACTTAATTTTTCTAAGCTTCAGGTTTCTACATCTGTAAATCAGGACTAACCATACTGGTCTAGTACTGTTTGGTCAAAAATAACGAAGTGAAGTGTTTAACTTGATGTTTAATATATTATCAGCTAACTGAACATTACGGCCCTGCACTCCCCTTCCCTGCACTCCCCTTCCCTGCGCCAGACGCTGCCCAGAGGCATCCTACTCCCTCTCATCAGGGCCATGGCTAGAACCCAGGTTATCAGCCTTCTGCAATAAGCTGTCAAGAAGCACCACATTTGATAGTGTCGAGTACCAACTGCTACTGTTGCTAAGAGCTAAGTTTATATTTCTTTTCATTACAAACCAATTTATTGTGAAACAGAACGTATGAGCCAAAGCTAATTTACTTGGCTTTTTAAAAAACAGATATTCCTCTCTTGATGATTTCACTTTAAGACTTCACCAATAAAAAGACAAAATTATAAGAACATGTATCATACCCATCAGGATAAACTACAGGAACAGTTAATCTATCCAAAAGTGATTTCCCAACTGCTTCAATCTCATCAAATTGCTCCTCATCATTAATAGCTTCAGGCTCTTCTGGACAGTCTTGCAAAATCTGTAACAAGTAAAATGGCAACCTCGATCAAGAGATAGAGAAAGGCAATCAAGCTCATGTGAATTCAGTAGATTGAAGCTGTTTTTGTTTCGTTCTTAGCATCCCCATGTACAACGCCATTGCGCAAGACTGATTACTAGCGAAGTTGGCTCAAAAAATTCAAATAAAATGAAACACATAATCCTTAATCATAATAAATAATTGGAGTAAAAAAAGTCTATAGTGATTTCTAAGAAAAAAATAATACTAGACTATTATTCGGAAAGTAAGTTTAAACTGTGCTTGAGAAATACCCTTCATTCATTCATTACTTATTGTACTAAATGTTTATTTAGCAGCTTTGGATGTGACTGAAATACAGATTGTGACCTCAAATAGCTTACAGACTTCGAAAATGAGAGGAAAATATAAATCCAAAACAACATACGCTTACACTACAAATAACTGATGGGATGACCTACATAGGCACAGTTATTTTAAAAACTGATCTGCTGACTTACCTGATATAAACTGGTAAGGTTATGATTCAAATACAGGAAGTTCTACAGTTCTTGATAAAATACTATTTTCCTTAACTATTAACATTTAAATTTAACAAGGGGAGAAGAAGAAGGAAGAAACTGCTATAATTTATAATAGCTAAGTCTATAGGTACTGATCCACACTAGTCAATCCATTAGCAAAAAGCCTAGTGAACACTTGAACAGTGGCTAGTCCAAACTGAGATGTGTTGTAAGTCCAAGATATACACTACATTATAAGAAAAAACTGCAAAATGTGGGGAAGAGAGAAGAAAAAGAAGTATTCATTTTTGCAACTGTTTTTGCATTATACTTAATCTAATCTGTTTATTTCAGCACTACTCATAAATAACTTTATATAAAATCCTAGATTCAACTTAAAATATCTTTGCAGTCATTATACTATACAAGTTGTTTATAGTTATGGTTATATTTATGCTTACCAGTATAAAATAAAACACAGTCAAGAAGAAAATTATACCTGATAACAAAAAGCTTTACAAAGGTTTGAGTAGTAAAGAACCTTAAATTGTGCTTGCTTTAAGTATGATAAAGGCAATGGAAGAGAATAGTCTATGCAAAAAAATCTCTCAACCATTTACATTCTTATATTGCCTCATAAAGAAGTCTAGATCTTCATGTCCTTGCAGATACATTTTAAGTTTTTAATGAAATTCCATTCAGTTAACATAGAATGTTATTAGTTTCAAGTGTACAATACAGTGGTTCATCACTTACATATAACACCTGGTGCTCAAAAGTGCCCTCCCTAATCCAATCACCTATTAACCCATCGCCCACTCACCTCCCCTGTGATAACATCTCTGTTCTCTATAGTTGAGTCTGTTTTCTTGGTTTGCCTCTCTTTTTTTCCCCTTTCCTCATTTGTTTGGTTTCTTAAATTCCACATGAGTGAAATCATATGGTATGTGTCTTTCTCTGACTTCTTTCGCTTAGCATAATCCTCTCTAATTCCATCCACGTAGTGGCAAAGGGCAAGATTTCATTCTCGGCTAAGTGATACTCCATTGTGTGTACACTCCACATCCTCTTAACCTATTCATCTATGAATGAATACTTGGGCTGCTTCTATAACTTGGGTTATTGCAGATAACGCTGTTATTAACATCACGGTACATGTATACTTTAAATTAGTATTTTTGTATATTGTATTCTTTGGGTAAATCCCTAACAGTGGGATTGCTGGGTTGAAGGGCCGTTCTATTTTTAACTTTCTGAGGAACCTTGTACTGTTTTCCGGAGTGGCCTTGCAGATAACTTTTTAAGATACTGCTTTCAAAATGTATCAGTAGTGTTAGATATTGGGCCAGTAGTCACCCTTGGACAGGAGGCAGGGGCAGCGGGAACAATGTGACTAAAAGAACTTCTGAGGTGCTGGTAATGTCTGTTGTTTGAATAGTGCAGTGATTTCACAGGCATGCTCACTTTGTGAAAATTCATTGAACAGACTGAATTCAACAAACATTTATGATCTGTACACTTTTCTGTGTTAATATACTTAAATAAAAACTTTTCATTAAAACAATCAGTAGGGGCACCTGGGTGGCTCAGGTTGTTAAGCATGTGCCTTTGGCTCAAGCCCTGCATCAGGCTCCCTGCTCAGCGGGGAGTCTGCTTCTCCCTCTCCTTTTGCCCCTCCCCCAGCTTGTGTGCATTCTCTCTAATAAATAAATAAAATCTTTTTTAAAAAATGAAATAATCAGTAGATAAATAGGTGAAGCCATTTATATACTTTCACCTTCATTATTGTTAGGCCTATTTTAAACCAAAACACTGACCTGTGGAGTTCTGTGACCAGCTCAGCAAGAGTTAACTATAAACACTTCCCTACAGAGGTACAGTAGAACACTGCGCAATTCCTGAATTCCTGGTCACATCTCTTCTGTTCTACAGACTAGGCTATATCACATTTACGCCTTCAGTTTCTCACGTTTCATATTGTACTGAACATCCCCTACACATAAACTTCCATTGTGAGAGATCAAAACAAAGTTAACTACATAACAAAGCTCCTCTTCAGAGTGGAGATGTAAGGGTTGAGTGCTATAAAGTTTCTCTGCGCAGAGTTATGAGAAGGGCTCTAATGAAAATCTGCCCAACTAACACTACATATTGCATTTCTGGTTTCCAGGACTAATGAATTCATGAAATAATAAATTCTAGAATGAATCTTTAAAGATAACAAATGAAGAAAAGGTTTTATTTTTATCTTTATTCTCATTATTTTTAGCTGGGTAGTCTATACTTTAAACCTTATAAAATTACAAAGTGCCCTTTTAAAAAATTTATGACAATTAGTTGTAGTTGCTGAGGCAAAATGTCCTTTCCTTGCATAATGAAAGCAATGGGAGTTGTGACACCCTAAAGCTAGCTCATTTTGGGGGTCAAATTTGGTAAGAAGAGAAGCACTGCTGAGAGAAGACTCTAGATGGTTTTGGATTTCTCAAACCACAGTAAGCCAGCATTGGTATAGATTATACTACAAGAATTTGATTTGAACTCTCTAAGACAATATATTATATCTAAAACTTTAAACAATGGGATTAAAACAAGGTGGAAAAAAAACAAAGGCTAATCACATAATTATAATATTACAATTAATGTATTTTAAACATACAAAGTATTACTGAGACTACAATTTTTAAAAAAGCGAACCTTTTCAGCATTTGAGTGAAATGCAATAGCCATTTCCAGCCTATGCACTCTCTCTTCAGATGCTATTGTAAATTGTTTCCATACTCTGTTCAGTCGAGGAAGTGTGTCTCCAGATGACCGAGATGTGCAGCGCAGAGACTGACACAACACCACCGTGGCCTGTAGCAACTGTCTGCCGTAGTCATAAGTACTCTAGAAAAGAAAAAGTAAACGTGAACTTATAGTATAAGAATTCTGAAAAGAGAGACAGGGAAGTGTGCAGGAAGGATTGTGGTTGCAAATAATAACACTACTGGGAATCAGTACTGAATGACTCCACTGACACTTACTACTACAAATTAACTGCAGGCATAAAAAAGGATGGGAAGACAATACTTTGAATTTTTAGTAAGTTTCTTTCTTGTTAGCTTTTGCTCTCTTCTTATGTTTTCCCCATCTCATTCTTATCAATTCCACAATCCAAAAATAATGGCTGATCTCATTAACCAAAACAAATGGGTAAAGATGGGCTCTTCATAGGGCACTTTATATCCCATACAGAAAACTCAATTATTAGGGAAAATAAATAAAGATACTTTTAACACACACACAAAATCTGCATTTTTATACTAACACTGGTGAAATAGAGAAACTGGGGTTTCTACTATACCGCTATTAACTCTTCTATTTCTTATTCACTTTCGTGAGTGAACAGATGGATTGCCTAAAAAATGGCATAATCTAAAACAAATCAGAGGGAGCATACATAACCTGTATTCAGGAAAACATAAACCCTCTCAAGTTTATGCAGCCTACTTTTGATGCACCAGCTGACATTTTCTTAGTTCTGTGATATTTCTGGAATAATATAACTAACCTTCTTGGGCTTGGAGGGTTAAGTTACATTATAATCATGCAGAAAGCTATTCAAACACTGAGTTTGTAGAAAAGGAAGATAACCAGTTCTGCACCTGTGCAACATCAACAAATTTTCTATGCTTTTCTAGTAAAACTTTCGTTTCCTGAGCATCATCACCCAATCTGATGTGGGTCTTAAGCAGGGCATCCAGAAGTTCGCTTAGCCATTCTACTGCCTAAATAAAAAAATAAAGAAGAGTGACGCTGGATCCATAACTCTTATTATATCAAAACAACATGTTTATCAAAAGAAAAATTACTACCATATGATTAATTAATCTATTAGTTATAACCCAAGTCCTTAATAGCTTATTTCATTTAAGAAAGCTATATGAATTAATGATCTTTCCACCCCCTCAAAATTTTTAAAATCTAAGGACAAGATATATTAAAGAGAAGCACTTTTTAAAAATTAATAGCACATGATTCATATTAATAGATTGTGTGTTTTCCTTAATGTCCAAGCACTGGTATTACAGAAGACTGATGAATCACTGAACTCTACCTCTGAAACTAATAATATACTATATATTAATTAATTGAATTTAAATTAAAAAAAAAAGATAGTGTGTTTATGTAATATGGATCTTACCAGAATCTCATTACAGATTTATGTTGTTACTTAAAATCATAAAGTTCCTCTAGGTCAAGCTGCAATGATATTCTCTGATGCTAATTACACAAGGACAGCATATAGTTTTTCTAGTTGAAAAACCCTCTTGCAAGTTAAAAAAGCCATGTGCTAAACCAGCCTTAATCTTAGCATGTAACTAACAAGTCAATAATAATAAATAATAAATAATCCCAATTTCTCACTTAATAGAGAATTTCATTAAGAAGATAAGTCATATGAGACCAGTAAAATAACTGGAAACTAAAAAACACTTTGTTATTTTAATAAGATAAACTAGAATTTGACTTAACACATTTACTTTCTTAGGACCATGAAAAGTACACTTTTTTAACAGTTAGGTGAAATCAATCTTTTAAGAAAAGACAACTACATCATGTGTCTGACTGATCTTTTACCTGGGCAGCATCTTCTTCACATTTAAACAACTGCACCATTTGAAGCATCTTTAACCTTCGCACATCCACCATGTCTTCACATCTAATAAACACAAACATAAGGCAGAACATCATTTCAGTTTCATTAATAATTATTTTAACATCATCTGGCATGGATGTTTTATAGTATACTAAAATACTTAATCCTATACACCACGGAGACTTCCAACTACTTTGTATTGATTTGTAAGAATTTTAAGGATATCTATGTTACATCAAAATACTTCAAAACTTCAAAATACCTGAAAGATTCCTAATTACAAACCCCTGAGGACAGAATGGATTCTGTGAAATACTGAAGCAAAGCATCAACAAAGTAGTACACTAAAACCCAAAGAAATCTCCACTGCCAGTTAGCATAAACAAGCCTCAAAGATAAACATATGAAGTTTCTTAAATAATAATTTTGACAATGATACACCAAGGAAATAAAATAAAAACATTCTGAGGAAAGATACTATATCATAATTAAAGGATTTATACAACAAGAATATCTAACAATTATATAAGTATTTATGCTACTAACTTGAGAGCAGCTAATTACATAAACCAATAACAAAATTAAAGAAACACATTGATAATAATACAATAATATTAGGGGACTTCAACAGCCCACTCATTGCAATGGACAGATTATTTAAGCAGAAGATCAACAAGGAAACAAGGGCTTTGAATGACACACTGGAACAGGTGGATTCACAGATATATTTAGAACATTCCATCCTAAAGCAACAACTTACACATTCTTCTCGAGTGCACATGGAACATTCTCCAGAACAGATCACATCCTGGGTCACAAATCAGGTCTCAACAGGTACCAAAAGACTGGGATTATTCTCTGCATATTTTCAGACCATAATGCTTTGAAACTTGAACTCAATTACAAGAGGAAATTTAGAAAGAATTCAAATACACAGAGGTTAAAGAGCATCCTACTAAAGAATGAATGGGTCAACCAGGATTGAAGAATTCAAAAAATTCATGGAAATAAATGAAAATGAAAACACTACTGTTTAAAACCTTTGGGATGCAGCAAAGGCTGTCCTAAGAGAAATATATAGCAATACAAGCCCTTCTCAAGAAACAAGAAAGGTCTCAAAACACAACCTAACCTTACAATTAAAGAGCTGGAGAAATAACAGCAAATAAAGCCTAAACCCAACAGGAGAAGAAAATTAATAAAGATTAGAGTAGAAATCAATGAAATAGAAACCAAAAGAATAGTAGGACAGAGCAACAAAACTAGGAGCTGGTACTTTGAAAGAATTAGTAGGATCAATAAGCCCCTGGCCAGACTTATCAAAAAGAAAAAAGACCCAAATTAATAAAATCATGAATGAAAGAGGAGAGATCACAACCTACACCAAAGAAATACAAACAATTATAAGAACATATTATGAGCAACTATACGACAACAAATTGGGCATTCCGGAAGAAACAGATGTATTCCTAAATGTATAAACTACCAAAACTGAAACAGTAAGAAAGAGAAAACCTGAACAGACCCATAACCAGCAAGGAAATTGAAGCAATAATCAAAAATCTCCCAACAAACAGGAGTCCAGGGCTGGATGGTTTCCCTGGGGAATTCTACCAAACTTTTAAAGAAAAATACTTACTCTTCTGAAGTTGTTTCAAAAAACAGCAATGGAAGGAAAACTTCCAAACTCTTTCTATGAGGCCGGCAACCTTGATCCTAAAACCAGACAAAGAGTCCACCAAAAAGGAGAATTACAGACCAATGTCCCTGATGAACATGGATGCCAAAATTCTCACCAAGATACTAGCCAATAGGATCCAACAGTACATTAAAAGGATCATTCCAGGCTATCTGGGTGGCTCAGCAGGTTAAGTGTCTGCCTTCAGCTCACGTAATGATCCCAGGAACCTGGAATTGAGCCCCACGTTTGGTTCCCTGCCCAACAGGGAGTCTGCCTCTTCCCAGCTCATGCTCTCTCTCATGCGTACTCTCTCTTGCAAAAATAAATAAACAAAATCTTTAAAAAAATAAAAGAATCATTCACCACAACCAAGTGGAATTTATTCCTGGGCTGCAAGTTGGTTCAACGTCCACAAATCAATCAACGTGATACACTACATTAATAAAAGAAAGGACAGGAACCATATGAGCCTCTCAATAGAGGCAGAAAAAGTATTTGAATAAATACAATATTTTTTCTTGATTAAAACTCTTCACAGTGTAGAGATAGTGGCAACATACTAAATATCATAAAAGCCATCTATGAAAAGCCCATAGTGAATATCATCCTAAACAGGGAAAAACTGAGAGCCTTTCCCTTAAGGTCAGGAACACAATTGGGATGTCCACTCTCACCACTGCTGTTCAACATAGTACTAGAAGTTCTAGCCTCAGCAATCAGACAACAAAAAGAAATAAAAGGCTTCTGACACGGCAAAGAAGTCAAACTCTGACTCTGCAGATGACATGATACTCTATGTGGAAAACCCTAGACTCCATCCCCCAAATTGCTAGAACTCATATAGGAATTCAGCAAAGTGGCAAGATATAAAACCAATGCACAGAAATCAGTTGTATTTCTATACACTAACAATGAGACAGAAGAAAGAGAATTAAGGAGTCAATCCCATTTAAAATTGCACCAAAAACCATAAGACGTAGGAATAAACCAAAGAGGCAAAGGATCTATACTAAGAAAACTATAGAAATGTCATGAAAAAAATTGAGGAAGACTCAAAGAAATGGAAAAACATACCATGTTCATGGATTGGAAGAAAAAATATTGTTAAAATGTCTATCCTACCTAGAAGAATGTATATATCCAAAGCAATCACTATCAAAATACCATCAACATTTTTCACAGAGCGGGAACAAATAATCCTAAAATTTGTATGGAACCAGAAAAGACCCCAAATGGCCAAAGAAACACTGAAAAAGAAAACCAAAGCTGGCGGCATCACAATTCCACTTCAACCTCTATTACAAAGTTATAGTCATCAAGATAGTATGATATTGGCACAAAAGCAGACACATAGATCATTGGAAAGAATAGATAACCCAGAAATGGACCCTCAACTCTATGGTCAATTCATCTTCAACAAAGCAGGAAAGAATGTCCAATGGAAAAAAGACAGTCTCTTCAACAAATGGTGCTGGGAAAATTGGAAAGCCACATGCAGAAGAATGAAACTGGACCATTTCTTTAAACCATACACAAAAATAGACTCAAAATGGATGAAAGACCTAAATGTGAGACAGGAATCCATTAAAAATCCTAAAGAACACAGGTAGCAACCTTTTCGACCTTGGCTGCAGCAACTTCTTGCTAGTCACCTCTCCAAAGGCAAGGGAAACAAAAGCAAAAATGAACTTTTGGGACTTTATTAAGATAAAAAGCTTCTGTACAGGAAAGAAAACAGTTGACAAAACCAAAAGGCAACCTATGGAATGGGAGAAGATAAATGCAAAAGACAGATCAGATAAAGGGCTATATCCAAAATCTATAAAGAACTTAGCAAACTCAACACCCAAAGAACATATAATCCAGTTAAGAAATGGGCAGAATCAGCGGTGAGCCTGCTTCCTCCTCTCTCTGCCTGCCTCTCTGCCTACTTTTGATCTCTCTCTCTCTCTCTGTCAAATAAATAAAATCTTTAAAAAAAACAAAAAAAAAGAAATGGGCAGAAGACATTAATAGGCATTTCTCCAAAGAAGACATCCAAATGTCCAACAGACACGTGAAAAGATGCTCAACATCACTCATCATCAGGGAAATACAAATCAAAACCACAATGAGATACCACCCTCACACTGGTAGAATGGCTAAAATTAACAAGTCAGGAAATGACTGATGTTGTCCAGGATGCGGAGAAAGGGGAGCCCTCTTACACAGCTGGTAGGGATGCAAGCTGGTATAGCCACTTTGGAGAATAGTATGGAGGTTCCTCAAAAAGTTGAAAATAGATCTACCCTATGACCCAGCAACTATACTACTAGGTACTTACCCCAAAGATACAAATGTAGTGATATGAAGGGACACCTGCACTTCAATATTTATTGAAGCAGCAATGTGCACAATAGCCAAACTATGGAAAGAGCCCAAATGTCCATTGACAGTTGAATGGATAAATAGGATATGGTATCTATATAGAATGGACAATGAATCTTGGAACACCGCGTCAAAAACTAATGATGTACTTTATGGTGACTAACCTAACACAATTAAAAAAAAAAAGAATACAAAAAAAGGAATGGACTACTACTTAGCCATCAAAAAATGAAATCTTGCCATTTAGAATGATGTAAATGGAACTAAAGGGCATTATGCTAAGCAAAATAAGTCAGTCAGAGAAAGACAAGTGTCATATGACCTCACTCATATGTGGAACTTAAGAAACAAAACAGAGGATCATAGGAGAGGGAAGGGAAAAATTAAGATGAAATCAGGGAGGGAGATAAGCTAGAAGAGAGTCTTAATCATAGGAAACAAAATGAGAGTTCGCTGGAGGATGGGAGGTGATGGGATGGCATAATTGGGTGTTAAGGAAGGCACAGGATATAATAAGCACTTGGTATTATATATGTTGGATGAATCACTGACCTCTACCTCTCAAACTAATAATACCCCATGTTAATTAACTGAATTTAAATTTTAAAAAGACAGCCAACAATGTAAGTGTACAATAGAAAAATAAAAAATTATGGAATATTCATGGAAAACATATCTTTTATAGCAGTGTAAAGACTGACCTGCAATACATGAATTATTGGTATTGAATCTCTCAAACATAATCTGAGTTTTTTATGAAAGGGCATTTTAATAAATCTTGAAAATAAGAAAAAAAAGTTAACACTTTTCATTATATTTCATCACCCAAAGTAATATCTAATTTTGAATTAAAAACAAACAAACAAACAAACAAACAAGAAAAAACCACCACTCCATCTATGTTCCAAAGAAGAAAAAAAAACCTCTTGATCTCTGGGTATAGAGAGACACAATTCAGAGTACTTAAAAATTTTAGTGTTGTCTGTCCTATATAATATACGACTGAACTTTCAAGGTGACTTTAGCTACCTCAGTTCTGATCTATTCGCTTTGTCCTCATGCAATTTCATGTATTTTTAGAGGAAGAGTGAACTCACTACAATCTCAAACACTAATGGCCAGTTACCCAGAAGGCACTGAGCTCCATGACGGTCAGTGTTCTTAAAGAAGGTGAATAATAATACAGAAACCATTGTCACAAGGCTATTTTTTATAAAGAACGCCCTTTATAAAAGCTTATAACATAGTACTAAAATGAATCTGGTTACAGTTATCCTACAAGGGACTAAAAGGAAGTGATGATTAGAAGTATTTTTAAAATCTGAAGCTAAACAATGTAAGACATTTTAATGATGAAGATGATATCATAGATATATTTAATGCATACTGTCAGGTGTCAGATAATGTGCTCCATGGTCTCAACTATTATGTTGGTCCCATTTTGGGCAGCAGAGTTCTAAACAAACAATGTGGTGAGGGCTACTGTGGAGCTATGTAAAGAGTTCTATGGGAGCAGAGAGGAACAAGTAACTAATATGTCCTACGAATCTAAAAAGCCTTCCAAAAATAAGTATCCCCAAGTCTTTAAGAATCCAGCAAGTAGAAAATGAAGAAGTAGTCTAAATCATAGATTCATGAAACAGCACGATGCATTCAAGAAAGTGAACAACTGTGTCTGTAAAAGTTGCAGGAGATAAGATTATACAGGACTGAATTATGAAGAATCTCCTACACTATTTCAAGGAGACTGAACTTCATCTGAGAAAACAGGAAATCACGGAGTGGGGTCTTATGATTAGATATGCACTTTACAATGATGATTCTCATGTACAACAGACTAGAGAGGATCAAGACCAGAGGCAGATAAAAGAGAAGATTTTAAATAGAAAATTTCAGGACTCAGAGATAGCAGAACTTAAAATATTTGATCGGGCTATACGGGGTGAGGAAGAGTATGGATTTTAGGATAAATCCCAAATTTGGTAACTGATACTAACTTTAACCTAGATAAGATATTAAAAGAGAAGATCAAGGGGCCCCTGGGTGGCTCAGTGGGTTAAAGCCTCTGCTTTCGGCTCAGGTCATGATCCCAGGGTCCTGGGATTGAGCCCCGTATCAGGCTCTCTGCTTAGCGGGGAGCCTGCTTTCCCCTCTCTCTCTGCCTGCCTCTCTGCCTACTTGTGATCTCTGTCTGACTTGTGATCTCTGTGAAATAAATGAATAAAAGAGAAGATCAAGTACCTGGACATACTAGGTTTGAGGAATGTGTGTAGCACCTACCTAGAGATACTAAGTAGGCCAAGTATAGTTATGGGTCCAAAGCATAGAACAGGAGTCTGGGTCAGAACCATAGATACTCAATCACAATCAAATAAAAGAAAGTCATTCAAGTAGTGAAACCATCCAGGGAGAACACATAGAATAAGACAACTGGGCCTCAAACCCTGAAAGCAGAGAAATTAAATTAGCTAGAGGACAAGAAACCAGTGAAGAAGACTAAGAAGAAACAGATTGTTGGGATCATGAGGGTGTTTTCAGAAGACGACAAGGCTGTCAGAAAGTTTCAAGAAGAAAAAAGTCAGCTGTGTCCAATGCTATTCAGCGTGATCAAGCAATGTGAAGACCAAAAATACTCCCTGGATTTTGAGCAAGATCAAGCATTTATTACATGATAATTACAAAGTCACTGGTGATATCAGTAAGAGCAAGTTCAGTGAAATAGTGAGGGTAGAAGTCAGACTGAGGAGGGTTGAAAAGTTAATGGGAGGCAGTTAGGAAATAGTATGAGTGTAGATTATACCTTCAAATGACTTAGCTGTCAGGAAGGAGAATTCTAGGGCTAGAAGAGACAAAGAAAGAGTTGAGGAGGAAAGTATATGCATGTGTGTGATTTTTTTTTTTTTTAATGAGAGATTTAAGCATTTAAATGAGAGGCAGAGATCAGAGTAGAGAATGAGTAGACAGGGAAGACATGAGGGTACGTGACCTATTAAATACAGAGCTACAGCATCCTTTGTGATTAGAATAAAATAATGAAATGGATAAGTTTGCATGTGAGGCTAGAAGGAATTCCTCACTAATGAGTATTTTCTCTGTAATGTAGAAATAGTTTCTGTGAGGTTTTGTTGATATCCTAAAATTTTTAAGTGTCCAAAAATTTCATAAACCATGCTACACCGTATATATTTTCATATATTAATTTAATCCTTTACTTTGTAATGTTCTCTCAGGTGCTACTGCAAATTGAATATTCAAAGAATCCTTTAAATTCCTGCCTTTATATGAAATAAAACTAAATAGCCTCTTGCCCAGAGTCCAATATCTAATCCTTTCAGAGCACATCTGAGTACAATGGTAGTGTGACAATTTGTGAGAACTGTAGATGAAGAAACTGATGAAAGTAGATGACATATTTAATAGCAACTCTAAACCAAATAAAAACAGAAAATCAAAATTCTCCAAAAAGGGTTTTCTTAAAAGATGAAAAGGTCATAGGCTATATTAGAGATATGGAATGCAAAGTACTTGGGTGTAACTAAAATTTTACCACTGAATTAAAAAGGGGAAAAGTACCATTAGTTGAACAAATTGTCACAATTTGTTATTACAATTATATACAACAATTACATTCACCAAAACTTACTACATGCCTTCTATATTAACAGGTTAGAACTTCTATTTTGTATGGAAAATAAATTATATCACTTCTCTTTTTATTATGTCATTTTAGCAAAAATTAACATTAACAGTCAAACTTTGCCTTTGTTTCCTAAGCTGCATATCTTCCATCACTCCTTGTATGTGGTCCACATTTTCTTTATTTTCAATGGTTACATCCTTTCCATAGGCCCAGGATGCCTGATTGGAGATCTGATCCAGAAGTCCTTGACCTTTTTCACGCAAACCTTGTAATCCTACATCTAAAACAAAAGTTCCTAGATTTAATCTCTTAAACAAAGGAGGTGCTTTCCCTCCCTCAAGGAAATCCCCTCAGCAGATACTGTACTCGGATTCTATGCACTGATAGCTTTGTATGTTAAACTACCTTGGGAGGGGGTTCTCTGAACACTTCAAGGAATAAACCCATTTAAAGGTGGTTCAAATTGAGCTCCCTCTCATGCCAAATTCTGCCTAAAGATAATTTCCAAAAGGTAAATTTGATACTTATTTTTGAAAACTGAAAGCAGGAAGAAAATGTGAGAAGTTCTATTTTGATTAGTAATATTTTTCAATTTGTTTCCTTTGTGCTTCTATGTAGTCCAATTTTTAAGAGAACATGCCAAACATTTTGTTCAAGATGATGTTTAAGAGTTACAAGACTTCAAAGCATTCAAGCAATGCAATATCACTGAAAAAGGATGCTGAATATTTTGAGTTCAGGCATCTTCCAGCTTACATCTAATGAAAGGGAACATTTAGGATAGCTTACACCTAATGAGAGGGAACATTTAGGATAGATTTACAGTACTCCAAACCAACAAGCACACAGGAATTCCTTTCTTTTTTAAAGGAGAAGTATGGTTCTAGAAAGCTTCTGATCCTTTGAAATAAATTGCATTTGGCAAATTAAATACAAAATATGTATTATGCCTATCATGTGTTAAAATAACAAAGGCTGCAAACAAATGCCCATACAAACATGATTTTTCAAACGCATTCCCTCAAATCCTTTTCAATAATTAATTAATTTGGTTCAATCATGTGTCACCATTTTCTACTAAGTCTGTCTTAGGTTTCTGCTTCCTCACCTCCATTCATTCCCCTTTGCTCTCCTATCCCACCCAGAACAACCCTTTCTTCCCTTTTGTACATCCACTATCTCCTCTCCAGTCATGACCTAGGGAAATTCACTGTACTTCCTTCCTACTGTAGTAAAATGTAAAGTGTCAAGTGAAATGGGATCATCCTCCCCTTGGGAGAGTAGGTAACCTTGGCAATATTCCCAATTTGGAGAAACAAATGCACAGAACCAAACCAACTATTTATTCACAAGGTTAGGATATAGCAACAACCAAAATCATTGCATAAAACACAGTTTTGGGGCATACAGGATTTACCACAGAACACTTCACAGCTAATTACAGCTTATGCATGCACTACAAATTAACTGTTCGTAGTATATGCAAGACATAGCACCTATAGATATAGCTGGGTAAAGAATAAAGGCTAAAGGCCCAATGAAGGAAGGGTGACAGACCATCAATGAAAAATAGGGATTTTAGCATGTATTACACCCTTCAAGGGAATAAAACCTATTTTATACTAATTTTTCCTGTGTTTCCTATAAATAATTATAATTAGCTCAGTGTAAGTTGACTTCTCTAACCATAGTAATGATATTTCTTAAAAAAAGAACCTTATGTTTCAGCATTTTTAAAATCTGCTTACCAACACTTTTCAGCTTCTCTTCAAGCAGTTTTAAAGTCTGCTGAATCGATGCTCCATCAGCTGGTGCTACATCTACGCACAACATCCCTAATAAGCCATCCAACTGCTGAGACAACTAAAGCAGAGGGACACCAAAGAGATAACCCTGATGTGATCAGCATCTAAAGTGTTTAATGATTAATGAGGTTTATATCTAATGAGGTTATCACAATTACACTTGAAAAAGTCTATGCTGTTAAAAGACAAGGATGAATAATTAGAATACATGTTATCTGAAAAGACAGAACACACAGAGGCATGCACCAGGAAGACAAAGATTTATATCCAGGTAAGCAGAATGTAGGAAAGTACCCAAACGTCCATTGCAATCTATGTTATAAAGCATAAGCAGAGAAATGATCAAAATGAAATATATCTAAGTTCAAACAGTATTTAGACAAAAGATGTTTAGTTGCATGCAAAATGACTTAAAAATGAAAAGAAAATTTTTAAAAAATCAAAGACTTTTATCATCAACCCACGACTAAATTATCTTATTTTTCCAGAAAAATAATTAGGAGACATGCAAACCTGCAAAATTTATGTGCAGATAAGTGTTCAGATCATTTGAAGAACAGAAAAGCAATCAGAGTAGACACTTACATCTTGGGCAACACCATGAAATTCAAGAGCTGCTTGTAAGAGATTCTGCCTAAATTCCAGTTGACTGGCCTGTCGATAGCAAACATCACTAAGTTGTTGCTGCAGTGACTTCAGTTCCACAAGATCTTCCTCGTCCCCAGCATTTAAGAGTGCTGCAATTTGCTGATTAAGTTCCACATACACTGCAAACCATTCCTGTAACACACATGTTGTAAATTAAGGATCAAATTGGTCCCTAAAGAACCACACCACATTTTATAATTCTTCCAGATAAACTAAGTAACATATATGATAATTCTGTAAGGCAGAATTACTTAAAGTGAGGATGAGAAGTCCCCAACCCCCAAATCCTTCCACATGACTCCCGGAATTCACTCTTATCAACGTCAGTATCTATCCTGTATCTTCATCCTTGTATCTAAATGGTTCCTTTGTTGTTCTACCTGAAACCTGTCCATCCTCAGAGAAAATTATTACCAGACCATTTCTTCTCTCTTTCTCTTAAAACCTACATCTCCTTTAAAGTGCATGCTGTTGGATAACATCCTTCCAAACCTTTCCCATTAAGCACCTTCTTCCAGGGAATTTGGCAATGGTCACGGCCCTCCGCTCTGGGTCAGCGTTTCGACGGACTCCCACCATGTACAATCCATGCAGCACTCTTAACTCTGTCTCCTGATTCCCTCCCTCACTTGCAGCCATCCTGTCCCTACCCCAAATCAGCTACCTACTCCAACACATGTAAATTCTTGTCGTAATCATATATTACCATACAGCTCCCAAAGCTTCAAGAATCTCATTCTCTAACCACCAGCTACTGACTCTCTTGGTCACACTCTTTAGGACACTCACTCCTACAGCTCCATGAGACTGCCCAATCCACTGACCTACTTGTTTCATGGCCCAGCACGAAAGAGTCTCACATCCTCACTTCTGTTTTTGGTCAGAGGCTATAATCACCTCCCGAAGCATAACCCATACTCATGCCCTGCTCTCTTCCTTCCTTCCAATCCACCTGTCAAGACCTCAGACCTGGTATGTCTGCCTACTGTATACCTACACCAGAGCAGCAATATGGCTGGATAATAACAATGATGTGAACAGGTGTCTTTTTAAAGTTATAGTGTATATAAATATATAGACTCTCTCCATATAAAAATATATAAAGTATATAAATAACCTCAAATAGACCTTCAGCAATCCTATTACATTTCTCTAGTCAATGCATTTCCCCACTCTCATGATTATTTGCTTTTTTCACTCCCTTAAATCTCCAACTCCCTTTCCCCCTCTTCGTTCCCAGCCAAAATTCTAACTTCATTTTCTCTCCGACAAACCTATGACCCTCCCTCTTTTCTGCAGCCCTATGCTTAGCCCTCCCCACTAAAATAGCAGATGAACTGTCCCTGGTTCTAAAGAAGCCACTTAACCTGAACTCTCTGTCCTCTATTGCCTATACAAGGCTTTGCCCTTGCACTTATCTTTTCCCTCCCATCATCAATTCATTCTTCTTAATTGGATTATTTCTACCAGCATACAAATAAGGTGCAGTATCTTATATTTAAAAACAGAATTGCACTCAAGACCAAGGCTGTCCCTTAAAGGAATACTCTATACTCATTCTATCTCCTATTTCCCATTCCCTTTTTAACCCATTCTCATCAGGATTTTGTCCTTCCTGCTCTTAGCAAATTCTCAGTCTTTATCTAATTTGGGTCACTCAGTTGCATTTTACATAGGCAACCACTTCCTTCTTGAAATGCCTTTTTCTATTCTTTCCTCAGACACAACAGTTCTGCTGCCCTCCTTCTGCCTCTTGCTCTCTAAATTCAGTAGTGACCTGGGGTTCAGTTTTCCAAAGGCTCTTTTCTTCTAAATTAGTACTCTTTGGGCTTGGATGAGTTCGTCTGGTCCCATGCCTTTAAATAACATCTATATGCTGATAATTCCCACATTAATATCCTCACCTTGTCCCCTTCCCTGAACCCGACAGCGATCCTCAAGTGTCCACCAACTATCTCCATTTGGATGAGTATTAGACATCTAAAATTTAACCTGCCCCTGAAGCTACTAATTCTGTAGAATCCCAACCTGCTTCTCTCACAGTCTTCCCCAACTTAAGAGTAGCTAAGGCCAAACACCTAATTCTTCCAAGAGCAAGACTTGCTGGCTCAACCTCAGCAATGTGACAACTGCTTACTACATCTACTGCCTCCATGCTATTAGTCTCCAGTCTATTAGTCTCCAGTCTTCCTGTTTTGTTGTTTGTTCCTAGTCCTTATTTTCCACATGTTAGCCAGAGATCTTTTTATTTATTTATTTTTAAATATTTTATTTATTTATCTGACAGACAGAAATCACAAGTAAGCAGAGAGGCAGGCAGAGAGAGAGGCGGGGAAGCAAGCTCCCTGTTGAGCAGAAAGCCCGATGCGGGGCTTGATCCCAAGATCCTAGGATCATGACCTGAGCCGAAAGTAGAGGCTTTAACCTACTGAGCCACCCAGGTGCCCCCAGAGATCTTTTTTTTTTTTTCTTTAAAGATTTTTGTTTATTTATTTGACAGACAGAGGCAGAGAGGCAGGCAGAAAGAGAGGAAGGGAAGCAGGCTCCCTACTGAGCAGAGAGCCTGTGCGGGGCTCGATCCCAGAACCCTGGGATCATGACTTGAGCTGAAGGCAGAGGCTTTAACCCACTGAGGCACCAGGTGCCCCTCCCAGAGATCTTTTTAAAAACATGTATCACACAGACCTGTACCCCTGGGGCTAATAATACATTATATGTTAATAAAAAAGAAAAGAAAAAAAAAAACATGTATCAGTTCTCTGCTCAAAAATCCCTCCAATGATTTCATGTAACATTTAAAATAAATGTCAAGGGGCGCCTGGGTGGCTCAGTGGGTTAAAGCCTCTGCCTTCGGCTCAGGTCATGATCCCAGCGGCCTGGGATCGAGCCCCGCGTCGGGCTCTCTGCTTAGCGGGGAGCCTGCTTCCTCCTCTCTCTCTCTCTCTGTCTGCTTCTCTGCCTACTTGTGATCTGTCTGTCAAATAAATAAATGAAATATTTAAAAAAATAAAATAAAATAAAATAAAATAAAATAAAATAAAATAAAATAAATGTCAAGGGGCACTTGGGTGACTCAGTGGGTCCTGGGATCGAGCCCTGCATCAGGCTCTCTGCTCAGCAGGGAGCCTGCTTCCCTTCCTCTCTCTCTGCCTGCCTCTCTGCCTACTTGTGATCTCTGTCAAATAAATAAAATCTTAAAAAATAAAATAAATGACAAGGGGTGCACGGGTGGCTTAGTCGTTTAAGCATCTGCCCCAGCTCAGGTCATGATACTAGGGTCGTGGGATCAAGCTCCATGTCCGGCTCTCTGCTCAGTGGGGAGTCTGCTTCTCCCTCTCCCTCTGCCTGCTGCTCCCCCTGCTTGTGTTCTCTCCCTCCCCCTCAAATAAATAAATAAAATCCTTAAAAAGAAATAAAATAAATGTCAAGTTCCCTTTTGTGGGCGAAATGGACATGATTTGGCTCCGGACTCCCTTAGAAACATTGTTTTGTGTGACTCCTTACCTTGCTCACTGCACTGCAACACCACCAACATAACTTGCTGTTCCATTACAATGTAAGGAAGCACCTACCTACAGTATTTTTACTTCTGTGTCCTCAATCTGAACTGCCTTTTGCTTGAATTACTCCTCACATCATTTCAAGGTTTCTGATTAAATGTGATCTCAGAGAGGCCTTTCCTAAAAGCCTTGCCTTACCTTCTCTCCATTCCCTTTTTTCCAATATGAATTTAAATTCCATATTATAAGACAGTGCTATATAGCCAAGAGTCTAGAACATGTGACATTTACTATGTGTTCAGTTAACATGTAGTGAATGAACATATAAAGCACTTCATATCAGATACTGTAGATTAGCTGACATTAAATTAAGTAGGTAATAGGTACTGCTCTAAATGTGGTCTACTCTTGTGCCCTGTACCTAAAACTTGGGTTTCTCTATTTTTTCGTGTTGTTTTATTGCTTGAACTACTATGAAATTTCTGAATATTATTATATAGACAATGTAGTCAGATGTAGAGAAAAGAACAATGGATCTGAAAGACAAACTCAAGGTCTTTTTTCCTTATAAAGGGTATCATCTTCATTAACTCACTTATCTCTCAGAACCTGTTTTTTTGTTTGTTTTTCCTTTCGAGCAGTGATTTTCAACTGGGGGCTATTTTGCTTCAGAGGGAATATTTTGCAATATCCAGAGACATTTTTGGCTGTCACAACGGAGAGGGCGCAATGCTGATGCATCCAGTGAGTACAGGCCAGTGATGCGGCTAAATGACCCGATAATGCACAGGATAGCCACTACAACAAAGATCCATCTGCCCAAAGTGTCATAGGGCCAAGACTGAGAAACCCTATTCTGTACAACAGTGATGATATCATCTGTCTTACCTACCATATTGGTTATTGTATAAATTAATTACATAATACTATGTGTAAAATACTTTTGGAACCATAGAGTGATTATAAAGGCTAACAGAGGTGGATTAAAGCAGAAAATACAACTTGAGAAAAATATCACAGTAGTGTTCTAAAATAAAAAGGGATTTCACAGTATTCTCTATAGTACTTGTAAATTTAGTTAATATTCTAAACAAATAATCCAATTCTTTGAAGATGTAAGGGTCATGATTCAAAGAAAAATAGTAAGCTAAAGGATTAGCATCCTGGGTCACCATGTCTTACAGTGAGAACTATCTATACCATATTACCAGGGTGCTACTAAAAATACCAAAGTTCCACCCCTGTCCTACTAAGTCAGAGTCTGTGGGCATATGGCTCTCTGACAGGCAGTTTAACAGTCACTTCAGGTGACTCCTAGGACCACTAAGGTTTAAGAACAACCATCCTGGTTCTCAGACTTTTTTCCTAGTCTGAACCTATAAAATAAAGGCCCTAATAACTAGAACAAGGAGGTAAACAATTTAAGAACTAGTATTTTTCTTGAAATTAACACTTGAAATTAAAGAAACTCACATTAGGAACTGAGGTTTCCCTAAAGAAATAATCAGTCTCTCTGGGATGTAAGGGAATAAAATCTAGAATGCACAGGCACACACACACTCTCTCTCTTCAAATTAATCAAAATGTTTTTTCCTAGGAAATAGGAGAATATAAAATGTATAGAACCTTAGCTGAACAGGCTGCATTCAGTTCAGCTTTGGCCATCCTCTGGCCTACCTTTTATGAACATTTAACTGCGCAGGAAAAAAATCAATTCCAAGACATGCAGTTTGTATTTAGACGGTAGGTAAGAAATGAGCTTGAATGCTCACATAGTAGGACAGAGGTAGTCATCAGGATTGACACTAGAATTGTGCAGGAACTGGTGATGATGCACAGCTGCTGAAATAATGGGTATTTATGCTTAAACCAAGACACAGGAATTCTAATCTAGAAGAAACACTGCCAGCTCACTTGATTAAGGTCAGTATGTTCATGAGAGATGGGTGTTGACCCTTCATGCACATCTGTTTTGCTGCTTCCTATTAGGCATGACACAACAATGTTCTCTTTGAAGACCAAAAGTCAGCATTGTGAGATGGGAGATACGAACGGAATCCTAAAGCTTCAGAGATGTGCTTTCCCTAACAACCACCTACCTTAGCCCAAAAGATAAAATCTGATTACTGAACTAAAACATGTTAAAATGTATTTTAAGTTACTATTATCATTTTTCTTATATCTTGTTATATTTTGTTGTGCTTACCTACTTCATATTAAAAAAGCAAACTTCCTTTTGACACTCCTTGACAAAGAACTACATATTTGTAATATTTTCATTTTCTGTATATTAAAACTAAATATTCTAATAAATTTGGGTTTATTTTTAGCTTTAAGATTACGCTTTTATAAGAATCTAAAATTTAATACTCAACAGAGTGATTTAACACAAAATGGTATGTAATTTCTATCCCTATTAACCAATCAATATACCAGAAATTTGTCATAATTTCATTAAGACCTGAACAACTCCAACATATGCTCTAAAGTGTTCCTCTTATTACAAAGAGAAAAGCTTTTAATAAAAATACTGGAACATCATAAGCTAATGTACTCATCCTGAATCAACCTATTCTTAAGGTGATAATGTAGTGCCACCTATTGGTTAAAACAGTGCAGTTCTCATTTGTAAACCTTGGAGAATGAAAAATTTCAAACTATTCAAAAGTGGAAAGAACAGTATAATGAACCCCATGTGCCATCCATCTTCAATAACTATCAACTCCTGACCAATTCTGTTTCTTTTACACTCCCAGTCAATTTGTCCCCATCTCCCAGTTTTGAAACTGACATACATCATTTAAAGAAATGAAATCCATAAACCATCAGTGTTTCTTTTCTCTGAGCATCAGGTCCATGAATGCAAACAACAATATATGTGCATATGTCCTCAAATACTAAGAGTATAGGAATGAAAAAAAAAATGCTATTATCTTAAGCACGTCCATGAGTAGCTTTCATTGCGAGCTAGCCAGTAAGCAAGTGAGAGAGACCGACAGAGACAGAAAAATATAGAAAGGGAGAAAGAGAGAGAGAAATACAGAGAAACAGAGAGAGGAAAAAGAACTTCATGAGTATGAAGAGACTGGTGTTTCAACCGAGTCTAGCTACCCAGTGATTAAAAAATGTTCTCTCCCAGTTTATCCATATAAAAATAAGGTGATGACATTAGAAGAATCTGTAAGATCCTCTCCAATTCAAAAGTTCTGAAATTTTATTCACATTATAAGTAAACCTGAACACACAGAGCTATCCATAAGCAATTTTTTCATTTAAATTAATTTTTAGGGGCACCTGGGTGGCCCAGTTGGTTAAGTGTCAGCCTTTGGCTGCAGGCATGATTTTGGGGTACGGGGATGGAGCTCCACATCGAGCAGGGAGTCTACTTCTCCCTCTCCCTCTGTCCCATCCCCAGCTCATGCTGTATTTCTCTCTTACAGAGATCTCTCTCAAATAAATAAAATCTTTTAAAAAAATAAGTAAAATAAATTGATTTTTAAACTTTATAAATAAAAATACAAAAATAAAAATCTAAACATAAGAATCTCTATGTATACTATTTATAATTTCATCCATACTGTATGCAACATAAAATGTGTTTTTCAATTCCTTTTGTGAACTTCTTTATAATAGGTACATAATCTAACTTCAAAGTATAATTATTCCTCTTGCATCTTTAAAAAAATAATAAAATATAGATAAATCCTGTCTTTAGGGCCCTCAAGTGTCACGTATCTTTACATAAAGGACTCTGGGGATACTTTCATAACCAAATCCTCTAGATGAAGTCTACAATGTTTTACAGCAAATACTGTTTTCAAGAACCAAAAATGGTGGGATGCCTGGGTATCCTCAGTCGGTTAAGTGTGGGCCTTCAGCTCAGGTCATGATCCCAGGGTCCTGGAATCGAGTTCTGCATCAGTGTCCTTGCTCAGCATGGAGCCTGCTTCTCCCTCTGCCTGCCACTCCCATTCTTGTGCACACATGCTCATGCTCTCTCTCTCTGATAAATAATTAAATACATACAATCTTTTAAGAAAGGGAGGGGTACAAACTATAGGATATAGTTACCCTATAGTAACATGCTCCAGAACAATCCACAGGGTTCAAATAAGTCACGGTCAGTATCAAAAATATCAAAAGAATTACATTATTTAGAAAGTACCAAGAGAGGCGCCTGGGTTAAGCTCCAGCTCTCAGTTTGGGGTCAGGTTATGATCTCAGGATTGTGAAATCCGGCCCTGTGGCAGGCTGAGTGTGGGGTCCGCTTAAGATCCTTTCCCTCTGCTCCTCTCTACTCACCTTGTGAGCATGTGTGTGCACTCTCTCTCAAATAAGTACAATCTTTAAAGATTTTTTTAAAATTTATTTGACACAGAGAGAGAGACAGAGAGAGAGGGGCAAGCAGAAGAAGAAGCAGGCTCCCCACTCAGCAGAGAGCCTGACATGGGGCTCAATCCCATGACCTGAGCTCACGGCAGACGTTTAACCGAATGAGCCACCCAGGCATCACTTAAATAAAATCTTAAAAATAAATAAAATTTTAAAAAATAATTAAAAAAGTACCAAGAACATTAAAAGATTATAACCTCAGGAACAGGAGTTATAAGTTAAATACAAACTACTCAGTATATTTTATTAGCATAAAAGGAAAAAGCATTATGTTGGACCCTGTGAAGTGAATAAAATATAAGGATTTTTTTCAATTATAGGATAAGATTTCATTTCAATCTTTTATAAGTACTGGGGTGAGCGGGTGGCTCAGTCAGTTAAACACCTGACTCTTAATTTTTGGCTCGGGTTAGGGTTGTGAAATCAAGAACGGCATAGGGCTCTGCAGTCGGCATGGAGCCTGCTTAAGATTCTCTCTCCCTTTCCCTTTTCCCTTCCCCCTTCCCCTTCCCTCTCTATCCATTAATCAATCTCTTAAGAATACTAATTAGGAAAACTGCAGACAATATACAATCTTTAGAGGATTCCAAATCCAAATCTTGTGATATCTTTTCCATATTATTCTCTCAGCTAGATTACAAATCCTACAGAGTACAGTACATATTTTATCTGCCAATACAATAGATTATTAAAGCTGATTTGGGGAATATTACAAAGAAAACAATATAAAGAACTAAACAGAACTGTATATATTAAAGAGGAAAATAATGTCAAATATTGTTAAAATACATCTTTAGTAAACAGTACAAGACACATGGTCAACAATTCAAATTTATTCCTGAGAAACAGAGGTTCAACATTTCTTCTTTAATCTCATTTAGTTAAAATATACATTTATTAATACTACTCAACTTTTAACTACCACTTCAATTGGGGAAGTTAAAGGGAAAAGAAAAACTTAGATGTTCACATAATCCATAAATTTCATCTGGGCCCAGAACTTAAAATTGTTATTGAACAATTTTTTTTAGTTCTCTATTATTGTGCATTTAGAGCCTAGTGATCGGGATGCATGTTATATTCATCCCTGAACACATGACTTTTTTTCCCAATTAACACATAAATCCAATCAGAGTGTCTTCTGAGCATTTGGATTTGTTTTTGCTTTTGTTTTGGAGGGGAAGGCTAACTTCTTTTATTACCTATTTATGGGAAAGATGTTTTATTCTTCATATTAAATGCAAGGTTGAATGGTGTGTGTGTGTGTGTGTGTGTGTGTGTGTGTGTGTGTGTGTAAACTGATCAATTTTTTTAAGCCAGATAATCTAAGGAGATAGAAATTAATGAATCTGTTTATTTTTCTACTTTTCTAGTCAACTTATTTAAATTGCTATCAGAAATAATATGACTGGGGGGAGAAAAAGGATGAACTAATTGATCCACAAAGCAGATGATCACTTTCTCAATAATGAAGAGTTAACTTTAACAGAGCAAGAGCTTAATCTATATCAACTTCCTCCATACACAAGTTGTTAAATTTTAAGCCCTCCTGAATGATTATCTATAATCTGCCTATAGATCATTTTCTAATTTCATAACTGATTTGTTTGATCATCTCCTTCAGAATTACAAGTGGGAGCCCCTAAATGCACAAAGAATGGAAAGATATCCTGCACCCTCTGCACTCACTCTCCATTAGTTGTGATTAATGCACCAGTTCTGCAATTATTCTCAGGCATTAACTGTATGTACTCTCCCTAATAAAGCAGGGACATCCCAGGCCTCCCTCTGAGGATTTAAGGATTATAATTTCTGTCTCTGGACTGCAGACGAAGGTTCTATTTTTGCACTATCACTCTTTATTCTGTCATGGTAATTTTTAAAAATTTCATATGGATTTGTTTCTATAGAATTTATAAACTATACTGGAGGCAAAGCAAAACCAAACTTCCAATAAATACATACTAAATGGTCAAAATGTTCTTTATGGTCTCTAAATATTAAACATACTATACTTTATGTCCTATTCCAAAGTTTATAGCACCTTATCCCTTAGCACCACACAGGCTCCTAATTATGCCCAGTAACAACAGCCTATAACCTGCAGAGGAGAGGGACTCACACTGTGCTGGCTCTCAATCTCTTCATGCTTCTGCTGTAGGGCCTGGGAGGCTCGGATGGAGTCTCCAATCCCCCACTGGGCTCGTAGCTGTTCTGATCCAGGACCTTCAAGCCAGTTCACAACCTATAAATGAAAGTTGAGACCAAAATCTTAAAATAATCAAAAGCTTTTCAAACATTCAATGTTTTCTCCTCCCAAAGCTCCTCAAATATTTTTTTTAATTTTTATGTTTATTTATTTGAAAGAAAGAAAGCACAAGTAGGGGAGCAGCAGGCAGAAGGAGAAAGAGAAGCAGGCCTGCTGCCTTTGACTCAGGTCATGATCTCAGGGTTCTGGGATCGAGTCCCACATCAGGCTCTCTGATCAATTTTTTTAAGCCGAGGGAGTCTGCTTCCCTCTCTCTCTCCCCGCCTGCATCTCTGCCTACTTGAGTCAAAGGCAGATGCTTAACCGACTGAGCCATCCAGGCACCCCCGTTCCTCAAGTATTTTTAAATTCTTTAAATTCTACTGTAAAGGCAGTAAATGTTTCTTTTCTAATTACGTGGCTATAATCTGACAACTTTTCCAAAAGCAAAATTTGAAAGAATGCACATTGAGGCACCTTAGGCTTTCAGCTCTCTGATCATCTGCCAGGCTAAAAGAAATCTGGAATGCTCTCCATAAAAGAAGATTAAAAATTAACTTACAATGAAAGAAAGTAAAAGAACTATAGGATTTTGCATTGGAAGAGACACCAGAAAGGACATTGGTCAAATTTCTTACCTAACACTTAAGAAAATTTAATTTCAGAGATTAACTGACCTGCCCAAGGTAATATAATCCATTATTAAAAACCTAGGACTAAAATCCCTGTCTCCAGACTCGTAGTCAAATGTTCTTCTCAAAGTACTGATAAAACTAAATGAACTAAGTAATTAACTAATATGAAGTTAAAATGCTACTTTTGTCACTTTGAAAATTACAAACTAACTGTAGAATTACACTACAGCAATACCCTCTAGGGGTCTTAGGATGAACTAAAACCTGCAGACCCACATACCGTCTGAGGTCCCACTGGCACCACTCAGCAGGATGTGAGGTAAGGAGCTACAGTTTGCGAAAGCAGCATGAGGCATTCTTCTTCTGCCAAGTCAGTTTAGGCATGAGTTGATGAGATCCATATGGGAGAAATTTGGGGAAGACTCTGGTATCAAAACTCCAGAGCCCACAGTGCTCATGCATGCTACAGAAGTTCTGAATTCAAGGATGCTCAAAATTATGCCTTCCATCAAGTACTAACAGTTCTCCCAGTCCAGACCCAGAATAATTTTTACTGTAAAAGCAGTAGTTGACATTCCAAGTTTTATAGGTTTTCAAGGAAACAGAGCTAGACATCTAAGCAAAGATCAAAGTCTCATGCAGAAAGAGTTTTTCTAACTCTTTACACACACACACACACATACACACACACACACTACAAAACTACATGGACACAGTGAAGTAATTTTAACAGAAAAAAATATTATCAAATTTTACTTGTTACTGAATAAAAATAAGGAATTCAACAACAGATGTATGGTTATGCCCTAAAATGTAAACTTAGGATAGCTGGTAAGAAGCGAATGAGGGTGTGTCCATAGCATAATGTTATAACCCAGTGGATACACAGGCTTACCTCAGAACTTTATAACAGACCCATGCTGCATTTTTTATTATTATCAGGTTAAAATATATTCCTTTAAAAATCTAATAGTTATGGAATTTTTAGTAGTTATATAAAAGTACCACATCATAGGGAAAAATCATGTCTATTTCTTTCCATTATTTTTTCACATGCGTTGCATTTTCACATTACTCCAGATTTAAGCACTACAGCCAATTCTTAGAGTACAGTTATTTCTATCCTGTGTTTTTCACTTAACATTACACTATAAAACTATAATGATTTTCTATGTGGCTACAGTTATAATTTATAATAGTTACAAACCTCTTTTTTAAGAAGGCAGAACTTGGCTGCCTTCTTCTCTCCCTCTCATCTGTCTAACCAACTAATCAACCAACCTATATACATATATATTCATATATGTACATATATATTTGTATATCTACAGCAGCTACTTTATATATACAATATATATACATATATACAAATACAACCACACACACCCTAAATATAAACTTAGGATATACAGAGAGACAGAGAAGTTCATATGTAGTTTTTTTTTTTTCTCTAATTCTGTATTGTTTCCCTAGGAAAGATTTTCAATAGAGATCTTGAATTCAATGACAATATAATGTTAGTATATATAAAAAAATTGCTCTCTAAAACACCTTTTTCGGGACGCCTGGGTGGCTCAGTGGGTTAAAGCCTCTGCCTTCAGCTCAGGCCATGATCCCAGGGTCCTGGGATCGAGCCCCACATCAGGCTCTCTGCTCAGCAGGGAGCCTGCTTTCCCCCCACCCCCGCCGCCCGCCTCTCTGCCTACTTGTGATCTCTGTCAAATAAATAAATAAAATCTTTAAAAAAAAAAAGATTAAAAAAAAAAAACACCTTTTTCTATATGAACATCCAAGCAATGAAAGTTTTAACTGAGAAACCTCTGCAAAGTATACAAACTGCCTACTGCTTTTAAAAAACTTCTGCCAAAGGGATGGAGTAAGATAAATAAAGCTAATATGGAATGTAATATGATATTTTGTTTGGAATCATGAAAAGAAAAATAGCATTAAGTAAAAACTAAGGAAGTCTGAATAAAGTATAAAGACTGTTTAAAAAAATAAAAAACCACCTTCTGCCAAATTGAAAAACAGAAACCTCTGCAGGTGGTTTTCAATATTAGTATACCGAATGCATTGCAAATGTTTAGTTACTGAAAGTATAAGATCTTTCGTAAATTATCCCTTCAAGTTAGTTCCCCACTTATCTTCTACGTTCTTAACTATTAATATATTCTCAGCTTCCACTTTCTCTTTACAAGGTTTTAATAATACAGTGCAAAAACTTAAAAACAAAAAGTTTTTAAGTATTATTTTGGATTCACTGGAATAGACTTAAGTGCTTTAATTTTCTTGGCTGTTTTCACAGTCCTAAATTAATCTGCAACCCCTTGTTGTCAAGTGTTCTTTGAAATACAAAGGTTGGCTCCTCAACATCTCTAGTCTTCCCCTTTAAACTTTGTATTAGCTATCTTTGGAGGGGCAGAGTGCTAGGATTCTGTTTCTGTTAGCCCGTGGAAAGGATCACTCTTTCACAGTCATGAGAAAGCACTGGGCATGAGTCCCAATTCTAAATTCTGGTTCTGCTCCTACCAGTTGAAAGACTGGTCTGTCCATCTTTAAAATGGTATTAACGCTACCTACCACACAAAGGTGCTGGGAGGATTATACCAGTCATTATATGTAAGACACTTAGCACAGTAGATAAATACTAGTATTTGTTAGTCTCTTTGCTTTTCCCACTTTCTTGAAGAGAAAATCATAGCTCCTTCTATCTATTCACTCAGTATTAAGCTTTTTATTTTAATTCCAGTATAGTTAACATGCAGTGTCATATTAGTTACAAGTGAACAATCTAGTGATTAAACACTTCTATACATTACTCACTGCTCATCATGATAAGTATGCCACTTAATTCCCATCAACTATTTTACCCACCCACCTCCCTTCTCCCTTCTGGTAACCATCGGTTTGTTCTTTATAGTTAAGAGTCTGTTTCTTGACTTGTCTTTTTTCTCCTATGTTCATTTGTTTTATTTCTTAAATTTCACATATAAGTGAAATCATATCATATTTGTCTTTCTCTGACTTATTGCACTTAGCATTACACTCTCTAGCTCTATCCATGTTGTTGCAAATGTCAAGAGTTCATTTTTTTGATGGATGACTAATAGTCTATTGTATATATATATATACACCCCACACCTTCTTTATACATTCATCAGTTGATGTACATTGGGTTCTTTCCATAATTTGGCTATTGTAAATAAAGCTGCAATAAACATAGGGATGTATGTATCGCTCTGAATTAGCATTTTCATATTCTTTGGATAAATACCCAATAGTCTGATTGTTGGACCATTGGGGTTTCTGATCTTAGGGGAAAAGCACTCATACTTAACTATGATGTTTACTGTTGAGTTTTTGATATGCAGCCTTTATTATGTTGAGGTATGTTTCCTCTAGACCTACTTTGTTGAGGATTTTTATCATGAATGGATACTGTACTTTGTCAAATGCTTTTTCTGCATCTACTTAAATGACCATTTGGTTTTTATTCTTTTTCTTACTGATGTGTGTCCATTCATTCTTTATAAAGTTTGTCTCACACCTGCATTTTACAGTAAGATCCTGAGCTTCTTAAGGAAGTCCCTGGACTGTTTTATTCAACATTTTTTCAAATGGAAATAGAAAGTGGGGGCTCCCATGTGGCTCAGGTTGGGATCCCTGCTCAGGTTGTGATCTTGGGGTCCTGGAATTGAGCCCCTTGTCAAGCTCACTGGGGAATGTGCTTCTCCCTCTCCCTCTGCCCCTGCCCACTCTGGCTTATGCTCTCTCTCTTTCTCTGTCTCTCAAATAAATAAGATCTTTAAGGGGAAAAATGGAAATAAAAAGTGTAAGTTTTAAGGAAGCTTATGTAAACATTTTGAAACCATTTTCCATTTCCTTTATGCAACTCAAGCCTCATCTATTGCTATTTATTATGACTACAGATATAAAGACAAATATACAATGGCTTTCAAGAGTTCTATTTCTTTTAAAGATTTACTGATTTACATATTTGAGAGAGAGAGCATGACCGTTTGTGGGGAGGGGCGGGGGACAAGGTAGAGAAAGTCTTAAGCAGACACTGGCTCAGCATGGTGCCTGACATCTCACAAACCGAAGATCAGGACCTGAGCTGAAAGCAAGAGTCAGAAACTTAACAGACTGCGCCACCAAGGAGTGCTGGCTTGTAAGTATTTTAAATAATATAATTATTTCACTAGAAATATCTAAATTCTAAAACTAAGGATGAATAAGAGCATCTCAAAAGTTTTTTAATTAATTAATAATGTGTTATATGTTATTTTTTAAAACCTAAAATGCTATTTAAACATTTAAGCTTTGACTTCAGAATATTCTACAAGCAAAAGAAGCAGGCTA